CGATCGGCGCGTACGTCGGCCTGACGTCGGTGATTCTAGTAGACCTGCTGGGCTTGGATAAATTAACAAACGCTTTTGGAATCTTGTTGATGTTTCAGGGCATTGCGTCACTTGTCGGACCACCCATAGCTGGTAACCCATTTATTTATCCGTTGCGCATTATATATTACATAATTTTGTATAGATACGGCGATCGATAATATATTATAATAATTAGTAGTAGTATATGTATAGGACCTCCCGAGTAAAGGAATCTTTATCCCAACTTGTATTTATAGATTATGTGTTCCGAGAAAATGTTAATCCCGTCACAAGAGTTTTGATGTAAATCCATCAAGAAGACGCCGGTGCGGTATAAGTTCTTGTGACGGGTGCGCGCGTGAAATATATCATATATTAAACCCCAACGATTGCTTATTGTCGGCCGATATTAGTTAGTCGCATTAAGTGTTCCAATGTACCTCGGATATCGTTGTGAAGTTTTATAATAATATATAACATGGACGTCACTAATTAAACTGATTTAATACCTATATTCATTGCAACGGAGCTTAAACAAAATTTTATGCCGAAAACCGATAAATTCAATTCTATATCCTATCACCAAAAACTGTTTATGTTTATATTTCTCCGGACAAAACACCAAAATTAGTTTAAAATTTAAACAATTATCAAATTTTTAGAAAAAATATCGATCGCCGTGAATTAATCGCTGAATATGCTCTACCTACTGCAGATTAATTGTACCTAATAAACATTATTTACAAAATTTTACGATCAGCAGTCCCAATTTGGCTCCGTTAGTTTAAAATKTATAGTGAATTGACCTCTTATAAATATTGAAGGTAACATTATTTTCTAGGTTATTATGGAGGCTTTTTATGATATTTTAATTTTAAAGCGAGTTATGAGTATTTTTAAAACTATAAATTGTTTATATATCTTCAAATACTCATAACTCGATTTAAAATTAAATTATGATAAAAAGCCTCAACGATAACCTAGAAAATAATATTACCTTTAATTTTTATAAGAGGTCAATTCACTCTAAATTTTAAACTAACAGAGCTAAATTGAAACTGCTGGGCGTAAAATTTGCTATGTCACGCACTTGTAAGGCGGAAACAACACATGCGGGTGTGACCTTCTCTTAATATTATTTATTAACTGTTTAACTTTGTCTTTTATGTAGGGTGGCTGTTCGACTTGACGGGCTCGTACAACCCGGGTTTTTATCTATCGGGGTCAAACATCGCCGTCAGTGGTKTGATGCTATTCGTTATACCGTACGTCCAACGACAGTGTGAACGGAAGGAACTGGAGAAAATGACTGGAGTAGTAAATAATAATTAACACGTAATGACAGGTGGACACATAGACACACACAATGTACTCCTATACGAATTGTTATAAATGTAAAATGTTACGTTATTTGGGAGATTATTTAAAAGAAAAATTCATTGACATAAATCAAATCTATTATTATAGTTAATATTATATACGTTAAAACGTGTCTCCAGGACTATAACGCGCAGAATGCGTTTATATTTTGTATTTTCATTTATTTTTTTCTCTGCTCCGCGGGSAGATTCCGTTGCCGCGTTCTTCCTGTTTCGATTTTGCTCAAAATATGTTTTTATATGAATAATATGATATAGGTTTACAATTGTATATTTAATATTATATAGATATTTCTTCGTTTTTAGTTTTAACCGTGAATTTGTATTCTCGGCAAGCAGGCGAAGACATTTCACGAAACACTCGAATATAATATTAATATAATACCTAAATACATAATTAAGTTTTATTTTTCTGTTCGTTTAATTATTACACATTCGTCTAGTGATTTACACATTACTGATTTTCCAATTTTTTTTTTTTTGCTGCTGATTTTTTAATGAATTAGTTATTAGCATGTATCTAATATCAATCGAATTAAAATTAAAATTCACTTTTAATTTAAATATTTTTATTTATCATACATAAATATTTTAGCCGATACTATATGTATTTTTTCAAAGGACCAAAACACATAATATATTATATTTTATAAATTATTGTACCCATAATACTAATTAAGGTGAGTGATCGTGAAATAACTAAATGGCTTAATAATTTGTTGAAATTTAATAATCATCGTATAATTCAAATTAAATATTAATCAACGTTAAATTTATCGGAATCAAATTATTTTAGATAGGATCATAAATGTTTCATAAGTTTTCCGACGGTGAAAAACTAAACAGTTTACCGCTAGTTTTGTCTGTTACTCGATTGATTTTATTATCGATTTCCGAGAAACCGGAAACAAATTGTTTGATTAGACGACCCCCAACTAATTTGCTTAACATAATAATAATTTAAAGAATATTAATTTAATCTTTTAAAAAATAATTTATTTATTTTACATAATTTGCACGCGATGTTTCAATAAATCGTTACGCCTATATTATTGTGTAGGTAGTATTTAATTTTATAAAAGGTTCATACCTTATACCTACATAATATTATAATATACAATATAAATATTATATATACATTATTATGTTATGAATATTATTGATAAAATTAAGTATAATATATAATTACTGTGTACAAAAATATGTTTGCAAGTGATGTTTTTGATGTTGTGTGGACGACCGCACGGCGCACGCATCTATGTTAAAGGATTTAGTTATATAATTCTACACATAACCTGTATAGGACACGTGAAAAGACCGTTTCCCGAGATGTCGACCACGAATTTTGCTCACGTATTCTTATGTAATATTAATAGAATCAACATACTTTTAAAGATTTTTAAATAAGTCTGTTTTTTTTTTTTACTGAAACATTTCAAAAAAAGTGTATTTAAACATGTGAGTGATCTACACACACTCACATATTCGTTCTTAACTTTGTATGACTACGTTATTATTATTAATAAACTTTAAAATTTAAATTACACGTTTTTTCGTTTCGTTGACATCAGAGTGTCAATTTGTCACAGACGAGTATTACTGAACAGTATATTATTATTTTTTATATCTTATTATTATTATTATTTTAATTTTAATTTTGATTATAATTTAATATTTATATAAATTATATCGCGGTCGTCCATTCAATTTTTTGACAGTATGTACTATATTCATGTTTGCTGTCTGAGCGACTTATTATTGTATTATTATTACTATTATGACTACTATTATTATTAATATTTTTTTTTCACCATTAGAAAAATGTGTCATTAATTAATGTTTTAAATCGTCATCTTAGTTAAACTCGACAATATATTATGTCCCTTAGTTATTTTATTTTATATATTTTTGTTACGTGATACAAAATCAAAAGAAAAAACTGAGAGGCCAATTATTTAATGTTAAGTATTAACTATGTATATAAGGAGTTATTGTTATCTTAAGCATAATGATGTGCAGGAATATTTTTAATAAACGCTTTTTTGATGTACAAGATWATGTTTTGCTTTTTTTTATGTAACACTATATTATCATCAGCTAAGTTATAGTGGTTATACTTAAAGTATTTGTCTGGATATCAAACTGTAAAATATAAAATACTTGCAAAAGTTTAGAACACTTATGATTATATTATATGTAAATCAATGAATATTTGAATTTCAAAATTTGAATTTACAGCTTTGCAGTGTAACTTAAATACTTTTTTAACTACTTTAAAAATTATTTCGCATGGTAGGCAAATTGAAAAATGTATGTAAAAATACTAAAATATAGTATAATTTATAAWCAAATTATTAATGAAAATGTGAAACCTAGAAAGCTGCAAACATGATTAATATTTTTCTGTTACTTTATTACAATATATTATTCTTCCTTAATATTGATAGCAGAATAGTCATGTCAACACTATAATTATTTAAGACTATTCACAATACTAGACAAAGGCCGTGAATTAAATCTAAATCCAATTTCAGATACTGACTTAAATTTGTCGTTCAGATATAATTTTAATGTGGAAAATGTATCACCATTATGTTGAAGAATATCACTATCTACATTTAATATAGAAGTTATCAGATCTTCAATGTCACTATTATTTGGATCCTATTGATATACATATTATTAAACATTTTATTTCAAAAGAAAAATTTTAAAATAATTACTTTATAGTTTTTGAGGCAAATCATTACAATTTTGTATATTGTATCTATAGGCAAATTAATAGAGTATCTTTCATTTATACTGTTAGAATTATCAAATTCATCAACCATAATATTTTGATTTGTTATTAAGCTGATAGCTTTTATTAATCCCATAATCGAGTGATTGTCTTTGCATAAAACTAATAACATTGCAATGTAATCTAATTTTCCATCATTAGAGAAAGTTTTAAATAATAACTCTTTAATTTTTATGAATCGAAAATAAATTGAAGGATTTGGTGGTAGCATTTTCTGATACCACAGTAAAACTGAATCAAACTCATCCTTGTCTATGGTACCTGAAAATTATAAAATTAGTTACAAGTAGAAGTAGTCAATTCACAATAGACACCTTCTGCATAATTTTTATTAGGATTTTTTTGTCTTTTTTTCTCCAATTCCAAATATTGATTTTTGAGATATAACAAATCTTCAATGTTAGGATAAGGAAGCTCCAAACAATGTATGATAAAATCAGTCCAATCAACAAAGTTAACATTGAATCCGAACATGGTTCGCAGTACAAAATTAGTTGTATTAAACCACCTATTAAACACTTGATATTAAAATGTATTTCTATTTATTTTTAAACACAATTTACTCAATTTCAGGATGATGTTTTAAGTAGGTTTTTAACAAACTTGATAGTGCAACTAAAGAAATACGTCTATTTGGACAAATTGTCACTAATTGATTTGTTATTTTCTTTAGGTTATGAATAGTTACAATACACTGATCTTCAGGTTCTAATAAAGGAAAGGGATGAGGTGGAGGGTTGCTTGGCTGCAGAACATTTTCAGTATTCAAATAAAAATTATTGTCAAAAAATATAATTTCATGGCGAACATATTGTTTCTCATTTATAGCAGCTTCAAATAAATTGCATATACAATCAATTCCAAAAAGCTCTTTTTGTAAACAATCATCTATTCGTCGATTCATATCTAATTGATATTGTACAATATAACTTTCCATTTCCTATTGTCAGATTATGCACATATTTAATATAAACATCTAAAAATGATTTATGTTTATGCAATGGCATGTAGAAATTATTATATACAAACAAAGACTTGAATATCTTAAAATAAATTACCTTAATATCCTCATGAAATCTAGTTAATATCAATTTAATTTGATCAGCTGATCTAAAATTCTCCTTATCTATCAAAAATTTCCATATTTTCAAATACACAGAACTGCTTTCTATTGGATTTGCACTGTGAGTTTTTTTCATTTCTGCTAACCATTCGTATGTGAGTTTTAATGTACCTCTAAGTTTATTATTAACCATGGTTATAGTGGCTTCAAACCATTTAAAATAGTATTCAACACTTGCCACTTGTTCTACCCCCTTTGATTTAAAATCTTGCTCTTTAGACAATGTAACTCCAATATGGTTTGGAATTACTGATGCAGTTAATTTTTTATTATATACTTTAGACATGTATGAATGAATGAAAAGTATTGTATTCACTGTCCGATCAACCTAATTTAATAAAACCAGTGTTAAATCATTTTTAATACTCTTAAATTTTTAATACACATAATATTTAACAAACCTCGGTTTGTAACATATGCTTGTAAACTAGAATCATTGAATTCATTGTACTATCAAGCATTTTATCAATGTTTTCATTTTTTATAAATTGTTTACAATCTTTTATTTTCTGATTTGTCAATTGTGTTAAGATAACTCTAGTATCCATTACAGTTGAAATCAATTGTCTAGTTAAATCAGGCATCATCAGTGCATCACTTGGTATTTTTAACAAATCAGATTGTAATTCTTTAACAAGTTCTATTTTTTCTATATTTTGTTGATTCAGTATTTCGTTAATATAGTTATTCATTGAAGACATATAAGGCATTTGGTTAGAAATAAGTATTCTTCTATTAAAGAAACACCATCCCATGTTCTGATAAAAATTTTTTTCTATTGATATCCAAAACTGCACTAATACTGCTCCAATATCAGCAGTAATTTGTACATTGAATAATTTTGATTTAACTTCTTCGGGCTTTGTAATGTCACCTTTAGAATCGACTAATTCATTTGAAATCATGTTTACTTTACTGGATGATATATAATCCAAATATTCAAATTCTGATTTTCCATGCAATCTTTTTCTTCTAAACATACTTTTTGTTACATTTATTGGCTGTAAACTTAATTTACTCGAATTTTTTGCTGTTTCATAATTGTCCTTGTCTATTTGCATATCATAAATACAATTCACCCAATAACTCTCGTTAGACCAGTTCACGTTTTGACCATTTAAAATATCACATATTAATTCAATCTTATTGTTATCCAAATCTATTTCTTTATTTTTAATTTTTAATAATGTTAATATCTTATGAGATTTATAATACTCATGTAAATCGTTAAATTTATCCAATTCATATTCATCAGATACAATCTAAAATTTAGCATATAAGTTACTATCAATATTATTTAAAGTATCAATATCTTACTTTTAAATATCTAGTAAATGAAGTCCCATATCTTCCTACACCAACTAAATCTGGCCCTTTAAATGGAGCCAAAATAATTGGTTGTATGTCTTTCATAAACTTGTGTGTCCCAAAAGGAGGGGAATTCCTATTAGATAACCTTTCTTCTAGTGTTATTATATCTTCTTTTAAAAAATCCATGAATACACATCCTCCAGACCTTTTTTTTGTTTTTATATAATATAGCACACAGTCAATAAGACAAGATTTTGGTAAAGGTTTTCCTGTATAAATATGAAGAAATGCAATTTCTCCACATTCTAATAATTCTTGATATTTTTCAAATTGCCTGCTTGTTTGTGTTTGTTTTGAAGTTATTGTTTCATTTAGTATCATTGGGTTCTCATGGGCTGATATATTGTTGATAATGATATCTTCTGTTCAACAATATTTTTATTAATTTAATAATTATTTAAAAGTATTATATAGGTAGGAAGTATTTTATACTTTTCAACATTTGCATTTATGATTCTGATATTTTTTTTAATAATCCTTATTATTATTTTATTAATACATACCTATGGTATTTGATTTACAGAATAAATTTGTATTACATTTTTAATAATTACCTAAATTTTAATAACTAATGAAAATTGCCCACACATTTTTTGATGGTACATTAACAGACAAAGGTTTTTATTTATATTTTCCCATTTCCCCCTTCCAATAATTTTTGTATGCTTCCTAAATAAATCACTTCTAAAAATATTGAAACACATTAATCATTCATTAATAATAAGCCAAAGATTTTTCTAAAATGTAATAATCATCGTAAATAATAATCAATTATCATAATTTAGGTATCATTAATAGATGTATTAATAATCAATTAAAGAGACTATACTCCTTTTATAAAATATGCCGGAAAAAAACCAAACAATTAACTGGTATTGAGAGCAYCATGGATGTTTTATCATGACTTATCACATTTTTTCAAGTGATAAAATTGTTATGGACTTCTGCATATGCAGATGCATCATAGACATATAATAGAATTTATCGTTCCTGGTCTATTATATTATATGTCTATGGTATGCATATCATATAACATTAAGATTAGGCATATTAATTGGATTTTGTATAAATTGTACTAGATGTCTAGATATACTGTCATTCATCTGAATATCTTCTATACAATATACAACAAAGACATTGCTATATAAAAGTAATACATTGCATAATTTATCATTGTCTTGAAATTACACCCATTTTGATATTTAATAATACATTTTGATAATATACTGCATTGTTTTCCTCAAGCAGATAACTCCTAAACATTTTTATGAGTTCAAGAATAATAATATAATCATATATAGGTATCTAGTAATCTAGATTACTCAGATTAGCATACATTTAAGAATCCTTACCATTTTTCAGTTGTAAATTTGTGAAGAACAATGGCCATAAAAGGTGGATATGACAAAAAACATTAGATGCTAGATTTTTTTTATAACAATGTGTTTTGATATGTGCTAAAAAGTAGTATCACAACTTTTATTTAACTTACTTGCTAATATATACTTAAAAAAAAATACATAGATAAATAAGAAGTTAATATCCTCATTACTCCTCAAAAATATTTATAAATTAACGAAGTAATACAAAACGGTACAAAGTGTAGGTAAATAAAATATGATTAGGTAATCTTATAGATGCTATTAAAGAAGGTAGTAATATAAAAACCCTTACTTAAATAATTTACATCCGTCCAATTTAATATAGGTAATATGACACTTACATTTTAAATCTGAAATGTTAATATTTTAACAATATTATGTAATTTTCATAAAAATAGCTTCATGAATATAATTTGAGTACAATGTCAAACACACATCAATTTAAATTACTTATACATATTTTCTTATTGGTTGTAACAATAAAATTAAAATATGCTACCATAAATGGATATACTTATAAAGTTATAAATTTACTTTTTCTAAAAACATTTTATGATCATCTAAATGTGTATGACACTAATTATACTTTTCAGTCAGTGGCGGTAATAACTGACTTTTAAGGGGGGGGGGCGGAAATTATAAAAATCATAGGACAATAATGAGTCGTTGGAATTTTTCCCCAATATTTTGAAATAATCCAAAATAGGTTCACCTTGTACTTACAATTAAATAAAAAAAAGTATAGTCACAGATGCACAGTTAATCAACCATTTTAATAATAAAAATCTACAATACAAGCAAATTATGTCTTTTTTTGTTTAGAAAAACGTGTAATAATA